CCCAGGTGCCCCTGCCTGACAACTTTTATGTGATCTCTGATATCCAATCAATTTTGACTTTGTTTTTGTTGAAAACAATTACTTAAAACCCTGTCTCACTAAAGAGTGAGAGAGTAGATGGAATCCGTTAGATTCTTTTCTCGGATGAAAGTAGGCTTGTGTCAAAAAATAAGAATTCTCTCCAGATAAATTCGTGTTACCTCATTTTCTTTGCCTTTAGTTAATGAGATCATTTTTGGCAAGATCTTGGCATAAGGCTATGTTAGGGAAGGAAAGGATTATGACTTCACATTTTAGTTTTAAGTTTAGTTTGGAGAGTTAGACTGTGTAAATGAGTTTGTATTTTATCTAGTTAACAGCAGTTAAAATTTTTGACTATGGAATTTGTCTTCTGAAACCAGTGAGTTTATGTGTAGCAAAGCATTTCCTAATTGCTCCCACTTCTTGACAAAACCTCTCGAGAAGCCCTTGATTGAAAGTCTTGGCTCTCCTGAATTTGGCAATTTTCACAACAGTAGACTTTTCATGACAGATCCTCTTGCTCAGGCTGTGATTCAAGGCTTGGCATTCATGGAGCAGTAGAGCACTTTCACAACAATAGATAAGATTTCTCTCAGGATTGACGGTAGAGTCTTGCACCCCAGTGCACAGCCGTGAACAGGGCGGTGAGTCACGGTGACATGCAGAGCTCTGTCTTTACCAGAGCAACGAAACCAGATGTCTTGCCAGGCATTAAGGGGTACTGTCTGTCTGTGGAACACTGCGATTTCTTCAGCAGTGTTTTTGGGGCAAGGAAACTTCACCATTTTGAAAATGGTAATGTCCCCTGAAGTTTCCAAAGAGGGTTCCAAAATAAATTATTCTTTGGTTGTGTTAGCATGCGTGTATTTGATGAAAACTAGTAGCTGGCTAAAGGGAAGTGTCATCATCCTATACTGAACGGAAGCGGTATTTCCAGTCTTTTCATGCCCTGCTTCGTAGTTTTAGAAAACGAGGTCAGTTTTTTTGGATTGGGTAAAATTGGTCACTAGAGATACTGCAACGGTATTATTTTCTGTTGCAAGCTCCAAACGTGTTTCACCATTTCCAAAGTATTTGCCTTTGCCACGTTCATCTGTGACTTTCTTGTCTGTTTGACATTCATAACCATTGGGATTTTGAGGTGGGAGTACTTAAGGTTTTTTGGTAATTGTCTAGCCTTTCCTAATCAAGCGGTGCTCTCACCCAGTGTCTCTTTCCCTCCCGCTTCTCTCCCTCCTCTCCACACTCACCCAAACACATATACATATGTACCTGGTCTGATGTAGGGCTTCTTCAGGAGAGTTGGCTAAATGCTTCTGATAGTGAGAACCAGCCATGTAAGAAGTACTTGGGATAGTCTGTCCCATCATATTCTGGGATAACAGTATAACCCAAGAACACTCAAACAATTTAACTTAGATCCAAGAGAAGTCTTCATGAACAAAAAGGACAGGTTTTAATTTGTCTTTGGAAAGACATTTTAGTCCTCACAATCTGATAAATATTCTCAATTCTGTTTTTCTGTAGAGATTTGGTAAAATGGCAAGGCCCGTGGGATATTATTGTGAAATAGGGGCCAGGGTGAAAAGGTCGCGAGAGAAGTGCTTATGAAAATAAAAAGCGGTATGTCCTAGAATGTGATAGTCCCCACATCATCAGCAGAACCGCTACAGGCACACTGCTTTCTTCATCCTCTTCGAGGTTAGGATCTCCCCCAAGAGGAGGAAGCGGGCTAATAGAGGATGGAGTTCTGTGTACTCCGTAAAATTGTTATGTTTGGCTGTTACATTATATCAAGACTCAGAGTTAAGTAATTTAGCCAAAGTTGATCACTTTTAGCATCTTGGAGTCAAATCATCAAGATCTGTTGTGCTTATTAGTTCATGATTAATTAATGTTTACAGACCTTTTTTGGGTGAATTAGTCACAGGGTCTAAAGAAGTATGCTAATGTGCTCTTACCTTTATTTTCTGTGTATATTTAAAAAGGCAAAAAAAAATTTATGAGCAGATGCTGTTGATGAAGTTGTATTTTACAAATGGTTCCATTTGCATCTTATGTTCAAATAGCATTAGAAAGCTAGATTAAAGGGATAAAGATTGTGGGCATAAGATTATGAATTTTTTTTGGTAGGATTTTTTCCTATTTCAAAAATGATAAAACTGATTTCCCAGAACGATGAAGTGCTTTGATTAAAGGTGATTCAAACAGTTAATGATAGGGGTGCCTGAGTGGCTCAGTTGGTTAGCGTCCGACCTCGGCTCAGGTCATGATCTCGTGGTTTGTGAGTTTGAGCCCCGCGTCGGGCTCTGTGCTGACACCTCGGATCCTGGAGCCTGCTTCGGATTCTGGGTACCCCCCTCCCTCTGCCCCTCCCCTGCTCATGCTCTGACTCTCTCTGTCTCTCTCTCTCTCTCTCTCTCTCTCTCTCTCTCAAAAATAAATAAACATTAAAAAAAAAAAACAATAATAGCATTCAGAGTAAAAGTTGAGTCTCCTGACACATTGTTGAACTTTTTTTCTCTACTGTCCCAGAACTGCAAAAGAATTTTGAGACTGTTCAGAATTAATCTCTGTACAGCCCTCCTGAAACCAGCTCTCCTGAAAGGTCATGTAATGCTGTTGAAATAGGCCTATTTTGACAAGGCTCATCAGTTCATACCCATTTTTGCTGATGTTTGGGCATTGAGTGGCCCCTGGCTCAAGTAGAAGAAAGCCAGCTTGAAGTTGTTGGTCTTATAGATATAATGCTGCCAGCTGCCTTTAAATCTTTGAAATTTGTCTAAAAACTTTCCAATAATATATCACATGCTTACCTATTGGTTGCAGTCCTAGCGAAATAATATATTTTTAACCTTTAATGAATATGATTTCATTGTAAGAAATGAGCTGAGCTGAGCTGAACATGGTAAAGCTATTGTTATACAACCGTGGGGTTCTTCTGGGGAAGTGTCTTATAATAAACAGAGTTGATTATCCAAAGTGGCTTTATTCTTGAAACATCTGCTAAAAATTTACCCTCTTGCAGTATTTCCTTTTAGTCCTCATGATCTGATCAATAGCGTCAGTTCTCTTTCTCTGTAGAGGTGAAGAGAGATTTGACAAACTCTCCGTAGATGCGCGGTTTTAAAATTGTG